GAGCACATTGGTTGGCGAGCACGAGTGGTGGGGAGTGAGCGAACAATCTGTGAGCACAGTAGGGGGCACAGGAGGTTTGCATACAGGAGTTACGGGGGGGAGCAAAGTGGGATTATGCATGGAAAACTGAGCACGAGGTGCACGGCTGGCAACCACAATCAGTGTGAGCGCGGTGGGGTTTGATCAAAATGTGGGATAGAGGGTTGGTGAGCACAACGGTTTATGAACAGGGGTAGTAGGCACAGAGGTGGGGTGAGAACGGTTAGGTTTAAGAAAGGGGCGATAGCACAGAGTTGTGCGAACATGGGAGTGAGCAAAACGGGCGTGAACACAGGGGTGTGAGCACGAGGACGGGGCTGTGAATGCATTTAGGGTTTAAGCTCGGGGGGTTGTTGGCGACAGCACATGGTTTGAGAACATTGGGGTGAGCACAGGAGTGTGAGCACAGAGGTACGTTGAAAGTGGGCTGAGCACAGACAGGGATAAGGAAGTAGCACAGTGTGATGAAAAGAAGATCACAGGAGTAGTACAGGAGTGTGTGCATAAGCGATTGGGCATATTGGCATATTGGCGATGAGCAAATCGGAGTTCAGAATTAGGACGGTAGCACAATACTGGGTGAGTGCAAGGATTGAGCACAGGATTTGCGCACAAAGGGGAGGCGTAGCACAGGATGGGGGGAGCACAGTTGGGGAGCACAGGATGTGTGCACAGGTTGGCGAGCACAGTGGTGTGAGAACAGGGTTGAGTACAGGGTGAGGAGTGAAAGAGGGAGAGGGAGCACCGGGGCGATATTAGAAGTGGAAGCAAACGGTGGGAGAACAGGTGGGGAAGTAAAATACGGTTGACCGCAGGGTTTGATCACAGGGTTGGGTGAGCAAAGGGGTGTGTTGAGGATAGGTAGGGTGGTTTAGCACAGTGGGGGCGAGAGTCAAAGGTTTTGAGAAGAGAATCGGTGAGCACAGTGGGGTGAGCATACGGATATTAAGCACAGTGGTGTGTTGAGCATAGGTGGGTGAGCACAATTGTGTGAGCATAGTGTGGTCAGAACAGGGGGAGTGAGCGCAAAGCCGTGAGCTCTTGGGGGATGAGAATACGGTGGAGCATAGGGATGAGCACAGGTCTGATAGCACAGTGGGGTTTGAGCTCAGGGGAGTGAGTGAATGGGACATTAGCACATGGTTGAGCACAAGAGGTTGAGCAAACAAAGGGTGAGCACAAGAGGGGGCGCAATGTGTTGGTCAGTAATGTGAGATGGGCACAGTGCTCGTGAGAACAGGGGTTGAGAACAGGAGCTCAGCACAGGAAAATGAACAAAGTGGTAGAACCACAAGGGGTTGAGCAAAGAGGGGTGACCACTGTCCACTGAATACAGGGGGAAGAAAGCGGTGAGGAAAGGGCACTTTGGTGGTCAGCAAGGCGGGGATAGGCATTGGGCAGAGATGAGCACACTTGGGGTTGAGCACAGGGGTGCGGTGAGCAATGTTGTGGATGAGCACAGTGTTGGGTGAAAACAGTATATGAGAAATAAGGGTGAGCACAATAGGCTGAGGATAGCGGGTGGTGTGTTGTTTAGATCACGATGGTTAAACACAGGCAAGTTAGAACATGGCAGTGAACAAAGCGGAGAACGCACAAGGGGTTTGAGCAGAGGAGGGGAACACATGAGGATAAGCACCGGTAGGTGAGCACAGTGGTGTGTAGACACAAGTAGTGAGTACAGCGCTGAGAAGCACTGGATTTGAGCTCGTGTAGGGGGGAGTGAGCACAGGGCGATTTGGAGGGTAAGTGAGCAAAGCAGGGTGAGCACATGGATAGTGAGCAAAGGGGTGCGATGAGCTGAGGAATAGGGAGAACAGAGGTTGCATCGGCTCAGGAGGGTGAAAAAAAAGGATGAGCCCATTGGGGTTGGCAATGGGTGGTGAGCGCAGTGGTGGGTGTGAATAGCAAATCAGCACGGTAGGCTTGTGCGCAGAAGGGGTGAGCATGGGAGGAGTTGAGCACATGGGTGGAGAGAGCAAAAGGGTCGGGGTTATTATCAGGCGTATGGAGCCAGGATACTGTCCCACTTTTCAAACACTGTGCTCCTCCTCATTTCGTCCAGAAATATACGGTCAATTCACTTTACAGCGTATTCTGTGAAGCGCTTTGAGACATCTGGAATACGTGAAAAGCGCCATATCAAATTCAAGGATTATTACTATTAATAATATTATTATTATTATTGTGGTGCTGCCCTCCCACGTGCTCATTTTCTTGTGCTCCTTGCTCTCAATCCATTTTCTCGGCAGCGCTGGTCTCACCTCATATTGCTGAAATCCACAGGCCTCCTTCTAGTTCTGAATATTGCGACGGAATGTGTAACCTCCAGCTAAACAGCCTGAAAAGGGAGCAAACGACCGGAGCTCACACTGACCCCGAGCTCACAATGAATCCAAGATTATACCGACGAGTAGCTCACATTGACATCCAGATCACACTGTCCCGAGTTCACACTAACACCCCAATTACACGCAACCCGAGTTCCTACTGACATCGGCCTCACACCTAACCCGACCTCACACCGAGCTGGACCTTATAGCGACCCACAGCTCATGCTAACCCGGAGCGCACACTGACCCTGAGCACACACTGACCCCGAGTTCACGGCGACTTCCAGGTTTCACTGACCCGTAGCTCACAGACATTTACAAGAAGAAAACCATTTCCTCATAAAGCGATCACCCACGATCGGTGGCGTTTCAGTGCGCTAAGTAATGAAGGAGACTGACTCCGAACCTGGTGAACGGGTAGCGGGGAGTTGGCCGTAAACACGGTGCAAGAGTAAAGTTTTCATGAGAGACTTGAGCGAGAGGAGAGACCAGTGGGTTCTCGGGAGGAGTGGGGTGGGGCGGTGGGGGAGGGAAAGGCGGACCAATTGATGGAGAGTGTTTGAGTATTTGTGGCCGCAGTCGCTGAGTATACGACCTCTGGTGGTGGGCTGGAGGGTTCGAGGAGGAGGCTGTTGCCAGTCGTACGGAGGCGAAAGATGATGGATTGGAGATTGAGGAGGCCGGAGATGCAGGGAAGTGCCATCAAGTGAAAGGATTTGAACACGAGATTGATGAACTTAAAATCGATTGTTTCAATCCAGAAGAAACCCAGCATCGAATCAGGATCAGGGTTAATAGCAGTCCACACATCTGCCACGTATTGAACCTCTGACAGAAACAGTCTCACAGGCTGAGGCTGGGCTCATTGTCAATCCTGATGTTCACTGTCACAGCACAGATCAAAGATCACAGATCTTTCCCCACCGCTCTCCACCGTTCTCACTTCATCCACAACCCTCCCTCTCCCCAAAACCTCTATTCCCCCCTCTCTACTTTGAAGGTCTCACTTACTCTTGAAAGTATACGCACTGTGTGATACCACTCCCGCTTTAAGCACTGAATACCAGCACCTCATTCCTCTCTCTGTGAAAATCCCTGATTGACCACTGGAGGTGATTATATACTCGTGTTTAAAAAGACGTCTGAAGATCACACGAGTGGTTCATGCGGCAGTCCCGAACGCCCGTTTCATGATGGAGCTGCGTGTTCTTCCAGTTCCCGGCCTCACTGCCCTCCATGGCTATATCTCCCAGCCATCACTCCCACGCTCTGTGTGTAAAGAAATACTTGTTGGGGTCTGTCCTGAACCTATCTCACTTCTCCTCCCCCTCGTCGTGATACACCGCTATGATGCGAGACAAGCCAATGGTCACTTTTACTCCATGTCCATGTCCGTGTCACAGAGCGAGTGTTTGTGAGATTATCTTGAATGTGTTTTGATTCCAGATCCGCTTCAGAGACCCACCATTTCGCTGAAACCAGATTCCCAGGTGTTTGTGAAAGGGGAAAGCGCTCAAATCTCATGTTCTGGTAATTATCCGGGCAGCAATTTCTCTTTGTACAGAGATGGCGAGTTTATCACATCAAAAACAGCATCAGAAAATAACAACAGGGCTATGTTCACCCCATTGGAGATCATGGCAGGAAACTGCACATGTAAATATACTACACATATAGACGGAGGAGAGCTCACATCACCAGAGAGTGAGCGAGTGGAAATCTCTGTGTCGGGTAAGAGCTAAGCAAAATCTCATACAATAACCCGTTTGCCGTTTTACCATTTGCAGCGTCTCCTGTTGTGAAAACTTAATACACCATCAATCATATTTCCATATTATTTCCTGGTGTTGGCTGGTGTGCTTTACCAGGGCGGAAACCGATTCCCGTGATAAAACAGTTTCCAAACCCAAATTCGAGTGCGATCCCCATACGGCAGTTCCGAGGTGTAAACACTCCCTGCTTTGCCCAAAGGGGGTGCCTCCGGTTCTGGCCTAATGCTGATCACTTTACGTAGTGTTCTTTTCTATGAGACAAGGTGTGGCGACCCGAGATCCAGGTGTTTGTTAACCAACTAAACTGCACAGCTTGTTATTGAGCACAGTCTGAAACCCAACCCATCTTGTCCATCGTGGACCATCCAAACCGCTCACACCGACGTGTGGTATTAAAGACAAAGGGAATAATTCCGATTCCCATTGACCGATGCGCTCCTGAACCTCTTGCCCGTGAGCCAGGTTGTGCTCTGCTGTCATCGGCCGTTCCGTGGGATACGGCGGAGCTGCCTTGCTCAGGGACCAGACTGGAGACCACGATAAAGGGTGAACACAATTCCGATCTTCCGTAGCTTGGCGGGTCATCAGCCCAGCACCTAAAGAGAACATATTTAGCTCCCCGTCCCCAGAGACAGGGGGCGAGAGTCTTTTCTCATGAGGATAGATGAGGGGAACTTGGGCTATTTTCATTTGAACAGACAGAACATAAGCGTATTTGGGACTTTCGCATCAGGAGGAGATGAAACCTCAGTGAGGTCTTTAAAATGATCCAATATTAGCTCTTCAATGTCGATAAATTACTGTTTGGCCATTTCACTCTTTAGCAAACCGGACCGGTAAGAACACAGGACTGGCTGTGGGGATTCTCACTGGGATAGAGCTCAGTTTGTTCATCCTGGGATTCTGTGTGCACAAGAGAGGTAAGTCGCCATTTATGTCATTGAGTATAGCGTATGATAAAGGAATAAAAGAGCAGCCCGGCGATGGAACTGTTTGTTGCTTTGCTGCTTTGTCAATGTTACGCGTTCTGGTAAGTGGCCATTAATGTCACGGAATATAGCATAGGATAAAGAAAACAGGGACAACTCCGAAATGGAGCTAACCACTGTGTACTGCATTGCTGCTATGTAAATTTTACGCGTTCTGGGATGCTATGCTGCTTGCTGGGCGCGATATCAATGCAACTTGTTGTTTTGGGGAATCCTGTACAGATGGGACTTGAGAAAAGTGCTGCGAAACTAGTGCTCAGTGTTCAACAACTTATTTATTTACAGGAGACAATTGGCAGCATTACGCTTGCTGAGCAAGAAAAATATATCTGCTTTTATGTTAACACAATAGGCAACAGGCAATTTTATACCGCACTTAAAGTGTGTGGCAATACCAAGGTTTACAGGCTGTATGCAATGACCTTCTCGATTTCAGAGCATTGATAGCGATAGACAGTGTTGCAGTTACTGTAGTGCGATTGTGTTCGTTTGATGTTCAATTCATCTGTCTGCACCAGAGGTCAGACCGTTAAACCAAGGTCCCGTCTGCCTGTTCATGTGAACGTTAGAAATTCTATGGCGCTATCCAAAAAAAAATAGGCAGATTGTCACGGTGCCCTGGAAACAAAATTGACCGTTTACTTCGTGCATATTAGTAGAGCTCAGCTTTGTGCAATTGTTTGCCTCCTTTCGTTTGCAAAATCCACAGTTATTCCACTTTCCGTAAGTCCTCTGAAGCTCACTGAGACATCTTGAAAAGATGATAAGGTGCTGTATCAAATGAAAAGATTATATTTATTTTATCTTGGGCCAAACCAATGCACTGGGTGAGTAACCGCTCTTGTACTGTTACATTCTGTAGCCAAAGTCAAACTATATTCTACAAAAATTTTCTTTCGCCATTACGCTGAATACTAATAATCATATTAGACACGGTTGAAGAAATAGGTGTTGGTCTGTGAGGGTTAGAGAGAAATGTTAGAGTAAATCCAGGATGATTGTCCAGAGAGCAGGGGCGGAGTGACTGAAATCCCGTCCAACGAAGTCAGGTGTGCGAGTAGGTGGGGGGCGGGGTGGGGGTGGCGAGTTAACCGCACTAGACAACGGTTGCCTGCAAAGGAATTTGAGGCTGATGAAAGGGGAGACTTATTATTTTCCCCCATCATGTCTGTGGTGCTGCTAATTATCCTGCTGGAGGTCTGTACTCCAATCTGAACCCCTGCTCTCTCCCCATCGTGTCTCTGCTGGAGCTCGCTTTCCCACTGATCGACAGAACCTGGAAAGGCAGAATAGTCACTGTGGGCTGGGAGTCATCCTATTCAACTGTCGTTAAACCTAAGGGACAGGGTACTAATGGGTAGAATGTCTCTTACTGTGCAGGCAGTGGGAAAGCCTGCCAGACAGATCTCCTAATTGCAAGATATGTAGTGTGTAACTGGATAGATTCCAGAAGTTATCCCATTGCACACTCTGAGGTTCACAAGTCCTGGTTCTTACAAGCCTGTGCCTAATTCTCATGGTGATTAGGTTGGCAAAGATACTACCCATTCATTAGAATACATTGAAACACATTAGACTATACAACACAGAAACAGGCCATTCGTTCCAAATGGTCTGTGTCTGTGTTCATGCTATAATTGAGCCCGGCCCTGACGTTCCTCAACTAAGCCTTCTAGCAGAAACCTCCAATTCATTCATTAGAAATAGAGGAATTGCTGGGTGTCGTAGGTTGACAAGTATTCATTTTCACGTGTGGATATTCGGAACCACGTTGATATATTTGCAGATGATCCATAAATCTGGCTTCCCTTTTCCCCTTCATTGGCAAATAATTTCACCACGACACTTTCTCATCCCCTTCCCCCTCCCCATCCTGTCTATCACTCACTTGTCTGAATTTCAGCCGATTCAAGTGTTCTGTGTAAGGGAGATGTTAAACCGAAGTCCCCAGTTCCTGTTCCGGTGGACATTGAGGATGAAAGAAAATTAATTTCCATCATTGTCCTTTCCGAGAATCATCGAAATAACATTGGTCATTCAATACACAGCTATTTGTGTAGTACTGTTGGTCGCAATTGGATGGCATGTCTTGCACATAAAATACACAGTAATTCACAATGCAGTTAATCCTATGAAGCGCAATTGGACGGCTCCAATTCCAGATACGTTACTATTAAAAATGCAACGATAATTAATATATTTCTGTTTGTTTAATAATTATCCTTGTCATTGTCATGAATACTTATCAATACTGATCATTAATATCATGTTTCTGCTTGTTTCAGATGCGATGGTGAGAATTTCTCAACGTTCGGTACCTGCAGTTCTGAGCAGCGAGAGTATCATTCAGGAAGAGGTTAAAAACTCAATATCAAATACGGCATTATTATTATCACTGATTCGGCCGAGTTCAGCGGTGTGTCAGCCAAGCTCTTTCCCTGGGTCAGCCAAGCTCAGGCCTTCTGGCAGCCCAGCTCACGCCCTGTAACGGTTTGGCTCAGCACTGTTTAAGCCTAAATTCAATCCTTGTGTCAGCATAGATCAGCTCCGCCTCTGTGTCAACCCTGCTGAATAATGTGTCATCACAGATCATTCGTGTGTCAGCTTTGCTCAGCAATATGTCAAACCAGCTCAGCCCTGAGTCAGTGCAGCTCAAAGCTGTGTCAGCCCAGCTCAACCCATCTCAACCCAACTCAGGTCCTGTGTCAGCCCAGTTTAGCAGTATGTCAGCGCAGCTCGCTGCATGTGTCCACTCGTCTAAGCCCAGTTCAGGCCCTGTATCATACTAGACAAGCCCTAAATCAGCCCAGCTCATCGCTGTGTCAGCCCGGCTCAGTGCAGCTCAGGCCCAGTGTCAAACCGCCCAGCTCTGTGTCAGCCAAACTCAATTCTGTGTCAGGCAATATCCGCCCATTTCAGGCTCTGTGTCAACCCAGATCAGTCCTTGTGTCACCTAAGCTAAGGCCCTGTGTCAGCCTAGTTCAGGTCCTGTGACATACCGGCTTCGTCCGTTTGCCAGCCGAGTTCACGCGCTTTATGAGCTCGGCTCAAACACTGTTTCCACCCAACTCACGCCCTATGTTGCCCAGCTCAAGCCTATTGTCAGTCAAGCTCGGCATCTGTGTCAACCCAACTCAGCCTCTGTGTCATCCGAGATAAGACTGTTATTAGTCCATCTTCGCACAGTATCAGCCCAACTCATGTCATCTCACGCGCTGTGTAGGCGCAGCTCAGCCTTGTTTCAGCCCTGATCAGCAATGTTGACAGCTCATCTCAACGCTTAGATCAGCCCAACTCAGGTCAGTGTCTGCCCATCTCCACGCTTTGTCAGCTGAGCTCAGCTCTATTGAAAATCCAACACAGGCCCTGTGCCAGCCAAGCTCAGGCCCTGCGTTAGCCCAGCTCAGCACTGTGTCAGCACAGCTCAGCACTGTGTCAGCCCAGCGCAGCCGAGATCAGCCCTGTATCAGCGCAGCTTCACAGGTTTCAAAATACCGTGGAGTGAATGTGCATTTTTGGGACACTAATCTGCACAGCTAGCCTGATGCATTAGGTTGAAAAGTTCCTTTAAGTTATAGCAAGTCTGTATGTTTATATGTGTGTATATCCGTGTGTCTGCATGGGTGTGTCTCTCTGTGTGTGTTCGTTTATGTAGGCTTTGCATTCAAACAGCTGCTTTCAGCTCAGGAGTAACTCCCAATTGCAAGTTTATTATTAAGGTTGGTTTCTGAGGGAGGGAGATTTGGAGGGATTTATCACACTCACACAAACACACATTCACACACACATACACACACCCAGGTACATACTGACACAGACCCACACTTACACATACTCAGATTCACACATACAGAATCACACTCACCTACATAGTTTACACGCAAAATGACATATAAACACACTTTGTTTATATAAACATACACCAAACTGGAGCTGTGGATTGGGGTCTCCCAGAGGGTGGGGGCTGGTGCGCTGGGGTGGCTGCACGGGGTGTGGCGAGGGGGCGGTTTTGGAAAACTTTCCGCCTGATTGTCAGCAGATATACTGATTTTTGGCCTCTTCCAGGATCCTGATAATACGTTTACCAATCTGGCGTCAAGGAACGGGAGTGAGAATTGCTATGAAGATGGTGAAGACGCTGAACCAGTGTACGCCAACAGCACCTTCTTTCTGGCCTGAACTCGGCTCTCAAATCATCCGTATCACTTAAAAAGAGAGTGCGAGAGAGAGAGAGAGTTGAAGTGAGACAGAGTGACTGAGACAAAGAGACTGATATAAATGATTGACTAAGAGAGTGAGAGGGAGGCAGACTGATTGAGCCTGATTAAGAACGACTCAGTGAGAGAGAGGCCATGAGATGAATGAGGGCGTGAGAGAGAGAGAGAGAGTGAAAGCGTGATAGAGTGAGAGACTTCGAGAGCGATAAAGAGCGAGCCTGAGTGAGAAATTGAGACAGAGATTCAACGAGAGATAGGCAGAATGAGACAGTGAGAGAGATAAAGCGAGAATGAGTGTGAGTACGTTTTGGATCAGAAGCATCATTACTTAATTTACAGGGCGGTTCAACAGGCAGGCCGCGAAGAAGAACGGTTGAAAGTTAGAGACAGTGTGATTGGCAGTTAAATAATATGATTGAGATTGGAAGAGAGGTGACTGACACACATAGAGTGATGGAATGAGGGAGATAGTATGAGGTTACAGAGATTGGGTGTGGGAAAGAGGGAGAGTGAGATGGGATAAATGGAGAGATAGAAAGGGAGGGAGTTTTATGGAGAGGGAGAGATAGAATGAGAGGACAGGTAGTGTGTGCCGGGAGTAGGTGGGGGGGTGGGGGCATGACTGTGATTGAGAGATAGTATGAGAGCAATAATAGAGATGATGTGTAAGGGAGACAGGGTGTGATAGAGAATCAGTGCTAGACGGAGGAGAGAGAGCGAGAACGATAAGAGAGAGTAGGGGACTAATTGTGGAGGAAGGAGAAAGTGTAATTGGGGAGAGTACAAGGGTGTGAGAGGGGCGAGAGGGCGTGACAGGCAATTGAGAGAGAGAGAGGAAGACTGTGTTTGTGATAGAGTGCATGACAGCATGGGGGAGAGCCTGAGAGGTAGAGTGAGAGAGAGAGAGAGAGAGAGAGAGCATTAGGCAGAGGGCGAGAAAGAGAAGTAAAGAGATTGAGGGGGCCTAGGACCGAGAGTGAACCACTTGTCGTGCAGCTTACTCGGAAATTGCACCCGCTATATTCTATATTCATCCCCCCTCTACCTCACCTGTACCTCTGCGAACTCCCGACCCGGTCATGTCCTTTACCCAGCAAACAGCAGCTTGTTTCATTTCCCCCCATCCCATTTGACACACCACCACCATCACTGCTCAGTCGACAGTGTCGAGTACTTCAAGACATCCTTCTGATGTGAAAAAGTCTCTGTGTAAATGTTATGTTTCTGGAAGGGAAACAACTTGCTCATTCGACGTTTTATAAATAGAGAATCCGGCCTGCGTTAGCCAGATGTTTTGGGCCAACCCGACGCGAAATAACTTCAGTTCGGTTGGAAATGTTTAGGTTTATCAGGTGACTCGTGGAATGACAATGTTGATTACAAATTAGTTTTTGATCGTGTGAACGTTGTTTACCGTATCCCAGTCCATATTGGAATGATCTGTGGACAACAATCCTAATCACAATCATCTGAATCGTATGTCGAAGTGTGATGTATACTACGGTGCAGTTGTTATAACTGTCGACAGAATGTTCTGGGAAAACAGTAACTTTTATCAGAAGTAGGAAGGTGTTGATCACAGTGGCAGTTCTTTGCTGGATATTGATGTAACGGCCTGTGTTGTTTAATGAGTCTCAGCTGATGGGAACCATAATCCAAGCTATACTATCAAAGCTACTGTATTCATCCGATCAACCCATTGCAGTGGAATTTACTAACCTGTCGTAAACTTTAATTTGAATATTAACCCGTCGTACGTGTTAGTATAAAATGTACAATTTTGATTACACATAAGCTTGCTAAAATTTTATAAAATTTTACTCATTACAAGGACATTTGTGTCCGTTCATATTTCACCACAGAGTCACAAATTAAATAACGTTTCAATTCACGGTTTCCAGTATTCATTCCAGTGGGAATATTACTAATGATAATAATCCTTGCAATTGGTATAACGCTTATCGCGTCTTCTAGACGTCTCAAAGCGCTTCACAGAATATTGTGTAAAGTGAATTGACTGTGTATTTGTGGGCGATACGCGGCAGCCAATTCAGCACAGCAATGTCCCACAAACAGTCATGGATTGAAAATGACCAATTTATTACTGTTTTTTGTTTTGGAGGGTTTAATATTAGGCGTGTGGAGCAAGGAAACTTGCCCAAGGGTTCGCCCTACCTGGTATTGAACCCAGGTGTCTCAATTGCAAGAAGAGTGCTCTAACCACTTAGCTACAGGACTTCAAGTTTCTCAGGGTGGACAAAGAAATCGACCATCAACTAAAAATGAGGTGAATTTGTCTTATGGGTTGGCAGAGACTTTTAGTGAACTAAAATTAATTGTGTGCAGTGTTACATAACGCTGACCTACAAAGCGGGTTTATTATGCAAATAGCCTCTCAGAGATCAGTCTGGGTGCCGTTCTCCCAAACATTTGATGTGTTGAGCACACGATGTAACACATCCTTGGCAAATCTACCCTTGAGAGTTAATTGGCTTCCATTTAAGGGAGCTGGGAAAGGCCCAGGCACGATCAGTCAAACTGCTACCTTCTGCACTGTACAATTTTAGGATTATATGATATTGTGTTGCCAGTCCGGCGCCAAAGAGATCCAGGTCTTTTACGCCAGCAGATTGATACTGGGTTGTGTAATCTGGATTGCATTGGGAAAGTTTGGTAGGCATTGCACTCAATACTATCATCTGCCGATTCACAGGATTATAATCCAGCATTACTCCAACAGAATAGCACATTCAACAAGGCAGCACAGTTTTACTGTCTCACACCTCACAGTGACTGTAGTTTGTTAGGCAGGATGCATCCTTCCAATGAGAGAGTGCACAACGCATTCCAACAAAGGGGTATTCTCATGTTGATGTGCGATGCATATAAATATCAGGCTTAAGTTTGGATACGGTCAATCGTGATGAGTTCCAACATGATATACAACTGAGCACAATACAAATTAGTGAGCATTGCATACAGTTCAGTTGACTTGAATACAATACGGAGGCGGCCAATGCGTATGATCAGTAAAGTGCCCCAGCGCAGATCGTGGCGCCGTATGTGTGTGTGTGTGAGTGTGAGTGTGTGTGAAGCTGGCATGTGCCTTCAGTGCTGATGATGGCGCTATGCGGATGTTTACGTGTGAGAGAAGCAGTATTGTCTCCAAGGCGACTCCACTTCAACCCTCCGGCTCCACCTCCTCGAAAATTTCCTCTCTCCTCTCCTCTCGACACCTCTCCCTTTCCATCACCCGTACGACTTGGTGATGACACGGGGCCTCAGAGTCTCGGGTGTCAAGAATAATGACAAGGCCATTTCTGACCACCGTTTCATCTTCCTCAACTCCCATATCCCTCTCCCCACTACCTCAAACCTACCGACGTCTTCTAAAGCCGGGGAAGGAGATCTCCCCGCAGTTTCTGATCGTTGACTTGGAGTACACTGATATCCTGTCCCTCTGGGCCACCTCACGCAGCAACTCACTCGCTGCGATTACCCTTCACCACAGCACCCTCTCCACCACATTTGACACCCTTAACACCCTCACCTCCCGAACTGCGTCCTATTTCCAATCCTTAACCTGGTTCACCAGCCACCTCCGCTTGCCTAAGGGCCAGGTGCTGTCTGCCGAACGCATTTGGCTCAAATACTACTCCTAATAATAATAATCCTTGCATTTGATATAGCGCTTTTCACGTCGGGAGGATGTCCCAAAGCGCTTCATAGAACACACTGTAAAGTGAATTAACTGTATATTTGTGGGCGAACGGGCAGCCAATTGCGCACAGCAATGTCCCACAAACAGTCGTAGATTGAAAATCACCAATTTATTATTGTTTTTGGTTTTGGAGTGATTATTATTAAGCGAGTGGAGTAAGGAAACTTGCCCAAGGTTTCGCCCTACCTGGAATTGAACTCAGGTCTCTCGCTTGCAAAGCGAGTGCTCTAACTACTGAGCTACAGGACTCCAAATCCAGTCTAACGGTCCACTACCATATCTGGTTGGACCTCACCAAGATTTGCGGCTCTGTTCTCGCTTAAGCCAAAACATCCTTCTATTCCAAGTTAATCCTGGAGGCGAGGGGCAACCCCTGGATTGTATTCTCCCCCACCGACAGGCTACTCCGCCCTCACCGACACGACTCGCAGAATCACTCCTCTGACTCTCATTGCGAGAAAATGCTGGACTTACTCGACTCCATGATCAGCCGCCGCTGTCCTCCCAAATTCCAATCCCCCCAAACATCATCCTGCACAATTGTCCATCCGACAATTACGCATCGCTCCTTCCACACCTGTGAATTTGTCGCCACTCCTCTGCCCATACCACCGTAATCTCCATGAATCCCACGACCTACTCGCTAGTCCCCATGCCCACCCCATTACTTAAGTGCCAGCTTCACCTCTTTGCCTCAATACTCGCCGAGATCATCAACCTCTCCATGTCATCTGGCACTCTTCCGTACCCACTCAAAACAGCCAATATCACCCGCACCATGAAGCAACCTTACATTGACCCATCACAGCTATCTACCGGCCCATCCGATTCTCCCCTTCCTGTCCAAGGTCCTTGATATAGCCGTTGCCTCTCAGCTTCGCTCTTTGTTCTCCTCCTGCTCCCTCCATAAAACCCTCCAATTGGGTTTTCGTGCTGCCCACAGCAAGGAGAAAGTTCAGGTCAAGGTCACAAATGAATCTAACCTCTCCACAGCCTTTGACACCGTGGACCTCTCAATCCTCCGCCACCTCCTCTCCTCCCACTTCAAACTTCAATGTTCTGTCCTTGACTGCCTCAGGTCCTACCTTTCACACCGCCATCAATTCGTCGCGGCAAATGGTTTCTCCTTCATCCCCCATACCTTCTCGTGCGGTATTCCTGAAGGCTCTCTCCTCGGTCCACTCCTCTTTGCTCTGTACATGCTCGCTCTTGGTGACATCATCCGCAAACATGGGGTCGAGGCAATAGCTTGCTTTGAAGGTGAAGATCATGATCTTGAGCTATACACAATGGAGTCTGGCGAGTATATATGTGATTGGGTTACAGAGTCTTTGCAGGAAAGGCCACGGGCTGCAGAGATCTGCATTATCTGTATCTTATCGGGGAATTAGTTGGGGAGCTTGTCAATCAGTGTATTTGC